TGTGAGTGGTGTCAACCCTGGGCAAAAAGTCCTGGGGTATAAAAGAAAGGAAACTGAAGAAGCAATGGGGATCCAGCCAGTTAAGTAGCCCTCCTCCATGGCCTTTGCTTCAGTTCTCGCCTTGAGTTCTGAGAACTGCAGACTATAAGATGAAATAAACCCTTTCTTCCCTAAGTTGCTTTTGACCATGGTCTTTATCAATGCAAAAGAAAACAAACTAGGACAAACCCAAGATGATTTTCACAGAGCTTCCCCATACAGTCACAAGGAACTCTCTCCTCGGCCTAATGAGAATGATAAAGTTCAAAATATTAAAATTTTCCTTCCATTTTAACAGATGGTGAAATTCAAATTCAAAGGCTCAAGGATAAGGGGTGGTGAGATGGCAGTGGATAAACAGTCCTGCCACCAAGCCTGACAACTTACATTTGACACCCAATCTGCGTTTGACTCCCGACCTGAGTTTGACCCCTGAGACCCACATGATGGAAAAGAGAACTGACTCCTGAGAGTTGCCCTCTGACCTCCGCAAGCATGTCATGACATGCCTGAACACACAAATGCACACACACCTACACAAATAGAAATACATGTAATGTAAAAAAAAGGTTCAGTTTAGAAATGAGACAATTTCCTCAGCAGAGTTTCTCTTTGTAGCCCTGACTGTCCTAGAACTCCATCTGTAGACCAGGCTGGCCTCAAATTTACAGAGATCCGCCTGACTCTGCTTCTCAAGTGCTGAGATTAAGGGTGTGCCACCACATGCAGCTAATCCTCAGTTTTTAGAAGTTCAGGATGTTTCTGTTTTTAAATAAACAAGAAAGGAGGGGCTTAGAGAGATCAGTGGCCTGTGGTGGGGTCCACTGGACCCTTCACAGAAGTCACCTAAGACCATTGGAAAACACAGATATTTACATTATAATTCATAAAATTGCAAAATTACAGTTATGCAGTAACAAAAAAATAATTTTATGGTGGGGGTTGGTCATCACGACATGAAGAACTGTACTAAAGGGTTGAAGCATTAGGAAGGTTGAGAACCACTGTCTCAGAGATTAAGAGCACTAGCTGTTTTCTGTAGAAATAGTGTTAACAAGTTGGGAATGGAGATGGATGGTAGAGTTCTTGCGTAGTATGTACAAGGCCCTAGGTTCTGTCACTAGTACAGACACACACACACATACACACATACAGAGAGAGAGAGAGAGAGAGAAAGAACTAGGATAAACAGCAGCTAAGAAAATGTAGGCCAAAAAAGTATTCTACCATTACCTTCAATAGCAAATCTTTCCTTTTTGATGCATGGTCTCACTACATAGCCCTGGCTGCCTTAAGCTTGCTATGTAGACCAGGCTGATCTCAAATGCACAGAGATCTGCCAGCCTCTGCCTCCTGAGTACACTACCATGCCCAGCTATTTGATATTTTTAATTATTCTCTTTTATTTTGTATGTATAGGTATTTTGCCTGTATATATGTATGTATGTCAGATTTTAAAAACTGTCTATAGGCTCCTGTGAGTGCTGGCACAGCAAGTAAGGATGCTTGTCACTAAGCCTCATGCCCTGAGCTTCGTCCTTGGGCTCCACATGGCATCATGGAGGAACTAGCCTGTAAGTTTCTTCTGACCGCCAGGTGTGCCTCTTGCTACCTGGGTGCCCCTGCACTAAATAAATAATGAGCCTGATTAAGCTGTAGATGCTGTTCAAAGAGTGTAAACATATAGACCTGGAGAGATGGCTCAGTGGTTAAGAGTACTGCTTGTTCTTCCAGAGGACCTGAGTTCAATTCCCAGCAACGACATGGCGGCTCACAACCATCTATAGTGAGATCTGGTGCCCTCTTCTGGCCTGCAGGTGTACATGCAGGCAGAACACCATATACATAATAAATGAATAAGTCATAATAAATGAATAAGTCTTTTTTTTAAAAGTATAAACACGCCTATACGGATAGTCACGACATGAGCCTCACAACTTTTCTGTTTGACTATTATTTACAATTTTTAAAAATATTTACTTATTTTAAGTGTAGGAGTGTTGTGCCTGCATGGACACCTGTGCACCACATGCATGCCTGGTGCCTGAGGAGGTCAGAAGGGTACTTTGGGTCAGGTGGTGATGGCACATGCCTTTAATCCCAGCACTGGGGAGGCACAGGCAGGTAGATCTCTCAGTTCCAGCCCAGTCTGGGTTAGAGAGGGAGTTGCATGACAGCCAGGGCTACACAGAGAAACCTTGTCTTAAAGAAAGAAAGAAAGAAAGAAAGAGAGAGAGAGAGAGAGAGAGAAAGAAAGAAAGAAAGAAAGAAAGAAAGAAAGAAAGAAAGAAAGAAAGAAAGAAAGAAAAAAGACCTGAGTTTGGTTTTCAGCACCCAAGTGAGATGGCTCAAAACCTCCTGTAACTCCATCTCCAGGGAATCTACCTCTCTTCTGACCTGCACAGGCACCCCCACACACGTATATATAAATACAAATGGTAACAGTTTCCTTTTTACTTATGTGTGTGTACACACGCAAGCACATATGTCTGTGCGTCACATGCTTGCCATCACCCACCCAGGCCAGAGACAGTGTCAGATCCCCTGGAATTGCAGTTACAAGCAGTGCTGGGCCAGGGAATCAAACCCTGGTCCTAGCTCTTAACCACTGAGCAGACTCTCCAGAAAATGATAATAATAATAATAATAACAACAACAGCCATAAGGTAGTGCATGCACACTGTAAATCCCAGCACTCAGGAGGCGCAGGCAGAAGGATCTCTGAGTTTGGCCAGCCTAGTCTGCAAAGCAAGTTCTGAAAGTTTATTTTAAAGGTTATATACATATCCAGGGCTGGAATAATTCAGCGTTAAGAGCACATGCCTAGTGTTCTTTTTTAATTTTTTAAAATTATGCTTTATTTTTCTCTGCATCCATGGGGAGCAGGGAGCATGGGGGACAACCTGCAAGAGTTGGTTCTCTCCTTCAACTTTATGAGTCCCAGGGAATGAACCTCGAGTCATCAGGCTTGACAGCAGGCACCAGCCACACAGCCTTAGCATTCTTGAGGCTCTGGTCCAAAATAAGCTGGACTGCCAGAACAATCACAGTGTTCAGTGTCTTAATACAACAAATGTTTACTTGAAATGTTATGCATCCAAGGCAAACCAGTATGTTTGTGATGACTAAAGTCGCTCTGGAATTCAGCCTGATGGTAGAAATATTACTTCCACCATCATTCCCTACCAAAGGACAGGAGAGTTGGAAAATTTTAGGTGTCTCTGAGGCTTGTAATACATGCAAAGAGGGACATAAAACACTATCATGTATATGTCATTAGCCAAAGAAAAATTACATGGCCACATGTAACTTCAAGCAGAAATACCATCACCACCACCCCCCAAATAACAGCAATCTTAGCCTTGATGATATATGTTCAGGGTCTCATGCTCTGTCCAAGCAAACAGGGTGTTTCAAGGCACTTCTGTATCTACTTTCTAGCTGTTTCCACACACTTCTAGAGGTCTTCACGGAAAAGAAAGGAATGGAGTTGGGCATTGGGTTGCATGCTTGTAATCACAGTACCAGAAAGATCAAGAGTTCAAGGCCAGGGCTGGAGAGATAACTAAGCAGTTAAGACATTTGTTGCTCTTCAGAGAACCTGAGTTTTGTTCCCAGCACCCACATGACACCTAACAATGCTCTATAAGTTCCAGAGGATATGACACCATCTCTGACCTCCATGGACACTGAAAACATATAGTGCACAGACATACATACAAAAGCAGAGCACCCAGACACAGAAAAAGAAGAAGAGGAGGGGGAGGAGGAAGAAGAGGAGGGGGAGGAGGAGGAAGAAGAAGGAGAAAAAGAAGACGATGACCACGACTACAATCATCTTTAAAAGAGGGCCGGGCATGGCAGAGCATGCATTTAATCCCAGCACTCGGGAAGGCAGAGGCAGGCATCCAGATCTCTGTGGGTTTGAGGCCAGCCTGGTCTACAAAGTGAGTCCAGGACAGCCAAAGCCACACAGAGAAACCCTCTCACGAAAAACCAAAAGAAAAAAAAAAAAAAAACTTAAAAAAAATCGAAGTAGAGTTCAAGGCCTGCCTAGACTACATAGTAAGTTTGAGGCCAGATCTCATAGTATGAGGCCTTGCCAGGAGGAGGGAAACAGGAGTAATGAGTGGAAAGAGAAGGAGAAAGAAGAAGAGAAAAGGAGGAGTTGGCCACAAAAAAAAAAAAAAAGTCATAACTCACCCAAAGTCACAAAGCCAGGCGCCCTGGATTGAGTTGAAGCCTCAGAAGAGCCCTGTCCTTGGTGCTGCTAAAAACCTCTCTTCTCCCAAACACTACAGCAATTCGCAGGGCTTTGCTTTCATCTGGAGTCACCAGCGCTGCCGCTCACTGAGTGCCTTTCTTGAACTGTTTCATTGTAGTGCCTTTCTTGAACTGTTTCATTGTAGTGCCTTTCTTGAACTGTTTCATTGTAGTGCCTTTCTTGAACTGTAGCACTTTTGCTAAACCTCCCATTCACACACTGCACCGCTACCTTATGCACCATGAATTGAAGGGCAATTCAGACAAGTTTTCTGTAGCATAAAACAAAGCTTCTTCCGTGCCTTGACGTTTAGACGAGCAAACTTTGGACTCGACCAGAGTTAGTTTTAAAAAGGGACCGATCATAGTGGCTCAGAGGCGAGCAGATCACTGTGAATTCGAGGCCAGTTTGGTCTAAGTTCTGGGCCAGCCAGGGCTACACAATGAGAACCTGCCTAAACAATAATAAAAAGTCGGGGATGTCAGAATTCGTCGCTTGAGTGTGGCCTACCTCCCAGCTACAAGTTCAGTCTGTCCTAGTGGAGGGCTGACAGGCAGTGAAGATTCCCTGCCGCGCTCCGAGCGTGGCCCTATCAGAAACCGCAAGGTGTGATGGCCCCGCCCACCTGCACGTTACGACCCCGCCCCTCGCTGCTCTGCGGCGCGCTTGCGCAGCGCCGTCAGACGGTGCCCAGTCCTTAGCAGAGCGATCATTCGCCTCAGGGACTGGGCTTAGGTGCAAGATGGCCGCCGCGCGCTCGGACCCCCCGATTCCGAGCTCACCGACCCGGGAGTCGCAATTCCCGGAGCAGCCGGACCTGGTGCGGGCGACGAAGGGGTCTGGGCCGGGGGTTCACCGCGAAGAAGATCGCAGGGGGCGGGGCCAGGGTATTGGGCGGGGCTTAGGGAGGAGCCTATATGGAAAGAGAAACGAGGCCTGGTTGAGGCGGGGCCTGAAGATAGGTTCTGTTGGGTCCCGTTGGGTCTTGGGAGAGGGATAGTCTTAAGAGGGGCGGGGCGTCAGGGAAATGACAGGGCTAGTGGATGGTTGGGAAGGTGACCTCAGAGGGTAGCTGTAATTCGGTCACCATGTTGGGATGGCATGTGATGATACAAGGACTGCCTTACGAAAGCCCAAGGGAGGATTTTGAAGGAGAAATGGGTGTTTCGGGTGAGCTTGGAACCTCTAACTAGTGACTGAAGGAGAGTAACTCAGAATATTGGTCGATTCAAGAAATGTTTACCCAGCTCCAGGGGACCAAAACGGACAATGGTTCTGACCTTTTGCAGTTTGCAGTCTGGTGAGAAGAAGAAGTAACAGGCTGAACAGAATTTATTGTAATATGTCCTATATGGGGAAATAAAAAATAAACTTTATCAGTGGAGGTGGAGCGAGCTAAATTTAGCTGGCAGAAGTCGGCTGGGTACCGGCTTATATTTACACTGCTGTCAGTGAAATAAGCAGGATCCAGACGGTGGTGGATATTGTAGGGAGGACAGTTGGTGGGCTCTCGGAGTGTCATGACCTCATTTACATTTTCCAAAGTCCATTCAGGGTGCTCTAGGAGAGGTGGATAGTGAGGGGCAGAAGCGCATACAGGGATTCCCTTTGAGTGGTGTTTTTTAGTTGTAAGGGGGAAAAGTGATGAGGTTTTTAACTATATAGAGGAGACGCACCTCTGTGTCTGTGGTACATTTTGGGCAAGAAGGGGAAATGCCAGCTGGATACAGCAAAAATTCTGGATCGTGGAGAATAGGGCCAAGAAACCAAGGGCTGGGGCTGGCGCTGGAGAGATGGCTCATCAGTTAAGAGGTTCTGTTCCGAGCATCCACATGGAGGCTCACAACCATTTGTAACTTCACTTCTAGAGTAGCTGACCCTTATTTCTGGCCTCGGCAGGCATTTCACACACATGGTGAACATACATGCAGGCTCTCATACATAACGTAAAAAGAAACACTCGGGCCTGGTGACAGGCTCATGCCATTAATCCCAAAACTTGGGAAGCAGAGGCAGGCAGGTCTTTGTTCTAGGCCAAGCTGGTTTACACAGCAAGTACCAGGCCAGCTCAGGCTACACAGTTAAACCTTGTCTCTAAATAAGTAAATCATAAACCATTAAAAAGGATCCAGTGGACTTCAGATGAGCAAATATTTTATTTAAATATTCAATTTTCATTTACTTACTTATGTGAGGAGAGGATGTGTATATGTGCCATAGTACAGGCAAATGGAGGTCAGAGGGCAACTTGAAAGAGTCTGTTCTGTCTTTCCACCCTGTCGGTCCCAAAGATCATACTCAGGTCATTAGATTTGGCAAGTGTCTTTACCCACTGAGCCATCTCCACAGCCCAGGCAAGTGTTTTAATAAGTGGAGGCATACTGAAGAAAGCTCTCTGAGCAGGGTCCACAGCCTCCTGTTTCTTCTTCCGCTCCCCAGGTCCTGATACCTGATGGTGGCCGCTCTGCCACACCCTCAAGTGACCTCATCGAGATCCAGGTGGTAAAAGTCACAGATAGCACATCGGTCCCTGAGCCCCCAGAGCCCGGACTTTTTCATTGTGCCCTGTGTCCTGCTGCCTTCCACCTGGTCTCGGAGCTGCTGTTTCACGAACATGGCCACCTGGCAGGCATGGAGGGGCGTGGGCAGGGCGGGCACCCTAGCCGTTGTCACGTGTGTGGCCACAGCTGTCCAGGTCCTGCTAGCCTTCGTGCCCATTATAGCTTGCACACTGGAGAGCGGCCTTACCGCTGCCCACTCTGCCCACTGGCTTTTAAGGCCTTGGCACCTCTGCTCCGGCACCAGCACCGACATGGGGTGGAGCCAGGCACTTCTGGAAGGCTTCCACCTGCAGCATCAACTGGACAGCCGAACCCAAGGGTGGCCCAGGAGAGGTCAAAGGTGGTGGTGGCTGCAGCGGCTGCAGGGGCTGTGGTGGGCAAGCCTTTCGCCTGCAGGTTCTGTTCCAAGCCCTTCCGCCGCTCCTCAGACATGCGAGACCATGAGCGGGTGCACACAGGGGAGCGGCCCTACCACTGCGGCATCTGTGGCAAGGGATTCACGCAGTCCTCCGTGCTGAGCGGTCATTCCCGCATCCACACTGGCGAGCGCCCCTTCCGCTGCACGCTCTGCGATCGCACTTTTAATAACTCCTCCAACTTCCGAAAGCATCAGCGCACCCACTTCCATGGGCCAGGGCCTGGGGTGGGAGGATCTGTAGGCCAACTGAGATCATCTTCGGTGGCCCAAGAATCAGGGAGTAAGTGTGGGACAGAGAACACTAAGGAGATTGTGAGGGTGAATGTGACGGTTGACCAGTAGGCCGGGAAGTAGGAAATCTGTCATTGCTTAGGTGGGTAGGGAAGTAGAGGTGGAAACCAAGGAGAAATAACGAGCAGCTGGGTTGGAGAATTGAGAGAGGGAACCAAGTTCTGGTCTCCCAGAAACCCACGCTACTCTTGAGACTCAGGAAAGAGGCACCTGTAGTTCTGTAGGTGCCCAGATAAATGTGAGAATACATAGACAGCTGGGTATGGCCCACACCTATAATCCCAGTACTCTGGAGGCTAAGGCAGGAGGTCCAGACCAGCCCAAGCTGCAAAGCAAGACTCTATCTACCAGCACCTCTGGTCCAATCCTGGGACCACCTCTGGACCTAGTAGGGGCTGCCTTAAGGTGGACGAAGATGAAATCTTTTGCCTACCTCAGCGGAAATGCACTGGTCCTGGGATGCCACCAGGCCATATCTAAAGGGATGCTGGGATACCTCCCTCTTGAATCCAGACTATCTAAACCACAGTTGGGAGTCCACGAGTCTCTAGGATGTGAGCCTGCTTATAGAGATTAATTCTAAACTTTGCTCACCTCTCCATCCTACCCCCTAGAGGTCTTGCCTTAACTCATGAGACTCTTCTGGAAGCAACTAAGAGCAAGCAAGCACTCACCTGGTATCCCCTTAAGCTTTAGGATCAGGGCCTGTGGTTGGTCTCCCATGTCTACAAAGTTTCAGATTTATCTATTCTCCACTCTGAGGTAGACCTCTTCATCTGGGCAATTCTGAGAAAAGGTTGGCTGATGACAACCTTGGTGAGTGGAGCCAGGGTGCAGAGTAAGAGATTGACACTGCTGTAAGGGGCTAAAAGGACTTGGGAGCTAGAGTCTGGGGTGGGAGTGGGGACTTCCAGTCTGTTCCTATTAAAAGACTTCCTGAAAGGCTTCTGTCTGTCAATCTTGTACTCCAGTTGTCTGGGTAGTTGGGAGATCAAAGCCTCACTGTTTTCTGGAGAGGGGCGTGACTAGGCTTTGGCTGTTTGGCTGTGTTGTAAGTTTTATGCAATTAAGGGGTTTTGGAGGTTGCCATGCTTACTCAAAGGAAGAGTCCCTAATCTTCTCATCCAGCATCTCCAAGAGATGACCCTCAGATGATGCATAATAAAACACCATTTCCTCCAAAGAAAAGAGCCTGTGGGCTGGAGAGATGGCTCAGAGGTTAAAAGCAGTGGCTGCTCTTCCAGAGGTCCCAGCAATTCCCAGCAACCACATGGTGGCCCATAACCATCTATAATGAGATCTGGTGCCCTCTTCTGGCCTGCAGGCACATATGCAGGCAGAACACACAGCAAGCATTAAAAAAGGAACCTGCTTCCCATCTCACTGGTCCCTCAGCTAGAGCTAGAAACCTAGACAGGTTCCTTAAACCAGCTTTCCTCACCTTATTTCTGATCAGTCTCTCATACTGAGCAGTTAAGCACCTTTGGAATCTGAGCACTTCTTTTCATCACCTGTTCTTGTAGAATTCACCAACAGTGGCTTCATGGCTAAACTACTATGGCAATATCTCAGGTCCTACTTTCTTTGCTTTCTCACATGGAGCCTTGCCACTAAACAGAACGCCCTGTTGCTTTCAGAGAGGACCATCCCCACAAAAGCAGTGTGGATAAGTGGCCAGATTCAAGGGGAGGTAAAATAAAGCAACTGACACAGTGTTCAGGTTCAACAGTAAGTGGGGGTGGGGGTGGGGGTGGGGATTCCAGCTAAAGGAGTTTGTACATGTCCTCTAATGAGGGCAGTTTCACTGGGGATGCAATTCAACTGCTAGAGTGCTTGTCGGGTACCTATGATGTCCTGGGTTCAGCCTCCAGCACCACAGAATGCCATAATGGCAACTGCACATTTTCCCAGCACTTCAGAAGTGGAAGCAGGCTCATAAGGCCCCACCCATCCCTCAGGAGTTACAGGCAATTGGTTAATGGCTGCCTGGGAAGGGGTCATAGTCCTCAGTCGCACAGTAAGCTAGTGAGCTGCCCTTGCTCAGGTAGATAAACCTTTCAGCCCATGTTTATGCAAGCAAGCCTGACCAAAGCAACGGGCCACCACAAATATAAAGATATGACAGTGGGAGGGCTTGGTGGAAAGAAAGGGTTCAGCGGGAAGGGAAGAGGGGTTAAGAGGATGTGCTGGAGGGACTGTAGATACAACCAAAGTAGTGTGTGTGTGTGTGTGAACAATCACATGTGTGTGGAATTGAGAATCTTAAAAAATTACAAATTTTGGGCTGAAGGGATGGCTCAGCAGTTAAGAACACTAACTGGCCTTTCAGAGGATCAGGGTTTGATTCCCAGCACCCACATGGTAGCTCACAACCCTCTGTGGCTCTAGGTTCAGAGGATCTGCTGCCTCCACCAGGAACCAAGTGGTGCACATACATAATGCAGGCAAAAATACTCAGACACATCATTTCTTTAAATAAAAAATTTAAATTAAAAAAAATAGTCATCAGCCATCCATGGTGGTGCACACTTTTAATCTCAGCACCAGGGAGGCAGAGGCACATGGATTTCTGTGGGCTCAAGGCCAGTCTGGTCTAGAGAGTTCCAGATCAGCAAAGGGTAACATACAGACCCTGTCTCAAAAATTAAAATTTAAAAAAAAAAAAATTAAGCCCATCTTTACCTATAAAGCAAGTCCATAACCAGCCTTGACAACATGAGAACCTGTCTACAGCAAGTCTGCAGACTGTGATCAGTTCCAAAAGTTTACTCTTCCCCACCTACTGCAGTGTGAATGTCCAATCAATTCATCAGTTTCCCTAGTGCCCGAGTCCGGGCTTGGCAGACAGGAGGCTCCGGGTCATGGTGGCTGAGAGCATCATGGAGGGGAATCTCGGAATCGCAAATCAGTTCCTGAGAGTACGACTTCCCTGTTTCACTCCTCTCCACCTGCCCAATCCATAGGCTAATGCCTGGGACATGGCAAAGCCTCACTCAACCTAGGTGAAAAGAGAGCGAGTGTGAGGTGATATGTCCACCAGTCACCAGAATCCCCCAGGAACAGCAAGGACATACCCCAGCGGCCCTGTTGATACAATTTATTGTTCTCTGCTTTGTACAAGCCGCGTCTGTACCCCCTACCCCCCAATCCAAGAGCACCCAGACCCCCACCTGTGCCCTTCCAACTCTGTTCACAGCCCACTGTCCAGCCAGATCCCAGAGGAAGTGGAGGTGGTGAGTAGTTCAGACACATCTCCACCACAGAATTCACTGGAGCCAGAAAGTTGCTGGGTAGCAAATGAGGTTTACAGAAGACGATCAACTAGACAGGATCAAGTTCATGCCTGATGGATGGAGAAGGAAGGGCCAGAATAGTCTGGGATTGGAGCAATTTAATCTTCAGTTTGCAGGGCATGGGAATGGAAGGAAGCTAGACCATCTGTAGTTCTTTCGAATGGGTAACAATAAGGAAGGGTGGGTAGAGTCTGACCAGCAGCCCCAGAAGGGTAGAGTCCAGAAGGGAATATCTGATTGGAGTGGCACAATGAAACGCTTTGGTCAGGGATCCTTTCCGGCCAAGGCGCTTCCCCCTGTTCCAGGCATCCCAAGACCCTCAGCCTTGTGCACCAAGCGGTGTTTCTTCAGGCCGTAGGTATTGGCAAAGCCCTCACCGCAGGAGGAGCAACGGAACGGCCTGCCGCCCTGATGGGCAGCCAGGTGCTTCCGGAAGTAGCCAGGATCCTTGAAGGCCTTAAGACAGGCAGGACAGCGCAACTCCGGCCGCGGGGGCTCGTGGGCGCGCTGGTGGCGCAGCACGGAGCTCAGGTAGAAGAAGCCCTTGCCGCAGTGCTCGCAGCGGTAGGCGCGCTCACCCAGGTGCAGCCGCTGGTGCTCCAGCAGGTTGGAGCGGTAGCGGAAGGTCTTACCGCAGGCCCCGCAGCGCTGAGGTCGGGCTACAGCGTGCAGCCGCCGGTGCTCTGCCAGGCTGGAGGACTGCGCGAAGTGCTTGGCACACACGCCGCACTTGAAGGCGCGCTCGCCCGTGTGCACCACCCGATGCTGCCGCAGGTACCAGGAGCGCAGGAAACCTCTCCCGCACACGCCGCACCGGTAGGGCCGCTGCTCTGTGTGGCAGCGCTGGTGGCGCATCAGCAGGGCCGCCTCCCAGAAGCGCTTCCCACACACCGGGCAGCGGAAACCCCGCTTCTGACGGTGGCTTCGGCGGTGCAGGAGCAAGTCGTACGCGCCCGCAAAGCTCTGGCCGCAGAGGCCGCAACCCAGGGTCCGGCGCACCAGGTGCACATACTTATGAGTCACCAGGCCCAGGAAATGCTTGAAGCTTTGGCCGCATGTGGCACAGCTGAAGCGCTCAACGCTTGAACTGGTTCCGCCACCCGATCCGGTCACCGTCGCCCCACCCGCATCCTCACTACCCCCAGACACCCCGGTCAGCGCTGCCACAGCAGTGCCCACCTCTCCGGCCAGTCCGTTGTCCAGCACGCTGGATGCATCGGTGCCGCTGCTGCTGCCAGAGCCATCAGAAGACTGGGGACCACTGGGTGTTGGCGGGAGAAGGCGTTCCGGGGCGGCCTGGTGGACCAGCTTGTGCCACATGAGGTTCTCAATGAAGCCGAAGGTCTTGCCACAGGCATCACAGCCATATGGCTTCTCTGACATGTGGGCTTCCTTGTGGCTCATGACGTGGAAGAGATCGGGGAAGTGCTCCCCGCAGTCTGAGCAGGCGTAGCTCAGGCCGTCGGCGGGCCCCGCTGAAGCGCCGGCGGGCCCGGGGCCACAGCCCCCAGCCGTGCCCTGGCCAGTGGGGAGGCCTGCCGCTCCAGCCAGGGCGCAGGGCAGCTGGAGCCGGTGCACCTGCCGGTGGCGTGTGAGGCTCTGCGGGTAGCCGAAGACCTTGCCGCACAGCTCGCACTTGTAGGGCCGCTCCCGGGTGTGCACCACGTGGTGCTTGCTCAGGTGGAAGGACTCGCGGAAGCGCTTCCCGCACACCGGGCACTGGTGGGGCTTCTCGCCGGTGTGGATGCGCTCGTGGCGTTTCAGGGTCTCGCGGCGCCCAAATGCGCGCCCGCAGATGCCACAGCAGAACGTCTTGCCGGGGCCGCTGGCGCCGGGGCCGCCGGCGCCGCCGTTCCCTGCTCCGCCGAGCAGCAGCGGATGCGCGCTGAGAAGTGGGACAGGCACCGCACCATACACCACAGCCGCTGCGGCCGCCGTGGCTTTCTCGTCGGTGGTAGTCGGGTCCGCGGGCAGGAGGTAGGGGCCTGGGGGGAAGGTGGGAGGTGGCTGTGGGACCGAGGCCGACCCGTCCTTGGCCGGCTCGGTGGCCACAGGTGGGGCGTGGGCAGCTTTGTGTCGAAGCAGGCTCTGTGGCGCCGAGTATGTCTTCCCGCACAGGTCGCAGGGGTACACCGGCCGTGGGGTCCCGGCCCCGGCGTGGGCCGCCTGGTGCTTGAGGAGGTAGGAGGCATCACGGAAAGCCTTACCGCAGATCCCACAGGGCAGGCGCAGCAGGTCGGCCGAGTGTGTTTTTACGTGCCGCTTGAGGCTCTCCCTCCGGTTGAAGCTTTTGCTGCACACGGAGCAGGAGAAGGGTTTCTCGCCCGTGTGGATGATCTGGTGCTGGTGGAGATGGCTGGGCTTCTTGAAGACCTTCCAGCAGAGGGAACAGGCAAATGGGCCCTCCCCGCCAGCAGTGGGGGGGGGAGGCATGGCCACCCCGGGCGGGGCAGCAGGGGTGGTGCTGTTCCCATCCGTGGAGGTGGCAGGCGTTGCAGGTGTGGAGGAGGGGCCGGAGGACACTGTGGCGGGGGCGGAAGTAGCAGTGGCACTGGCTGTGGGCACCGGGAGGCCGAGTGAAGGAAGTGGAGGCCCAGGCTGTGGCGTACCCCCAGATGTGGGTGGCACGTCCTTATGGCAGCGTCGGTGGCGGATGAGACTGGAGACGTGGTTGTAGGTGCGGCCACAGACGGCACATTCGTATGGCCGCTCCCCAGAGTGCACTAGCATGTGCTGGACCAGATGTGAGGACTGTTTGAAGGACTTCTGGCAAACCCCACATGGGAAGCGCCGCTCCATCAGGTATTTCAGCCTTCGGAAATAGCCCTTGTCGTCCTTGGTTGGATCACAGGCTGCCCCTACCGTGGGCCCAGGCGGGGTCTGCGTGGGTGTGGGAAGTGGCCCCGGAGTCCCGGTGGGAGCACCCAGTCCTGACGCTACCCCAGGCCCAGGTGTGGGTCCGCTTCGTTTCAAGTTCCCGAACAGGTGCTGGTGTCCAGAGAGGTCAACAATTCCCCACTGCGGAGCAGGGAAGGCAGCATCAAAGAGTGGAGGGGGCGGCGCCCCGAAGGCGGGCGGCAATGGCGCCTCCAGCTTCTTGGCTTGGGAAGAGGATGAGGAAGACGAAGATGAGGAAGATGAGGAGGAAGATGAGGATGAGGAAGGAGCCTCCGCCTTGGGTTTGAAATTGGACTGGGGTGGGTAGTCATACTGGGGCGGAGGAGGCTGGGGTGGGGCCTGGGGTGGGGGCCCTGGGGTGCAAGGCAGGGCCGCCACTGCCTTGGCATGCTCCCCATATAGCTCCATGGGCTCAAAGCGCTGGTGGTTGAGGAATTCCAGGAAGTCAAAGGGGTAACTCTGGAAGTGGACCCCGTCCTCGCCCCCGATGCCGCTGCTCCCGCCACCCCCGGCACCGCTGCCTGCCTGGTTTGCCTCCATCTCTGGTCGGTGGAGAGAAGGGAGACCCTGTGAAGAAGAGGATGGGGACTGAGCAAAGGGAGCCCGTGAGTAGCAAGCAAAGGGAACTTCATCCATTTTTTTGCACCAGCAGCATTTTCTTAGCTGGCCTGTCATTCTGCCCATACATCGGCTTTTCTCTTACCTGTGTGGACCTAGGGTCTTTCTTAGCCTCCTTCCAACCTTACCTCCATCTTTTCCTTGCTCTTCACACACCTCCCTATCCATCCTCAGACTGTCTCCTCAAGCATCTGTAGGACCCTGCTTTCTCTCCCCGGACTAATTCCCCCAGAACGGGGGTGGGAGGGGATCAAACTCTTTCCTGCTCTAGATTGTGTTTCCCTCCACTCCCTCCCCATATCTTCCTCTGGTCTCAATTCTCTGCTTGCCACTATAAAATGAGGATAAGAATAGCTCCCACCTGAGTGGTTTAGACAGCAACTTAGGGAACCAAAATACCAGCTTCAAACCTAAGTCCAGTTCCCTACGGCTATCCCCCACCCTTTTTTCCCCCAAGACAGGGTTTCTCTGTGTATCCCTGGCTGTCTCAGAATCCACTCTGTAGACCAGGCTGGACTTGAACTCAAAGATATCCACCTGCCTCTGCTTCACTAGTACTTGGATTAAAGGTGTGGGCTTTTGTGTGTGTGCCAGTGTAGTCCCTTGCTAGCTGTGTGACCATGGGCTCTGTGACTGAACCTCTGTGTCACCACAACCATTTTGACTAAAAGGGCAATCTAAGCGCTCTGGAAGCTGAGATTGCTGCAAGTTTGAGGTAATCTTGTGGTGGTGGTGGTGGTGGTGGCAGGGAGCAAGGGCTAGGAGAAGCAGAATCTATCAAGCACAGGGCTGTTGTGAAGATCCAACACTTTAACATTCCCACGTGGAAGGCTCCTCCTGGCACCCTGAAAATAGTCCTGGTAAAATATGGTAATGCCTTCTATTAATTGTCAGTATCCATTCCAGTAGCAGAAATAGGAAGGCCAAGAAAACTAGGTAAGAGCTCAATAGTGGGAAAGAGGGAATATTCTTTGAATGAAAAGTCGAAAGTAACTAAGCCCAGTACAAGTAAGTTACAGCAAGAGTGCCCGCACTCAAAGCCAGGGGGCACACGCACAGGCCCGAGCAGACCTCGGCTCGCGTCTGATCCCTGCCAGGGTCCATGCTTTCTCCAAACTCAAAATGGAGCCCAAACCTCTACCTGGGCATTGGAGGAAGGTGAAATGAGCCGCCTATCAGCAGTGTGCACTCCAACCCCTGCTGTGTGCCATCAATGATGAGACAAAACACCTGAGCAAACTTGGGTTCCTGTCCTTGCAATAAGGAGGGTTTCTCTGAGCACCTCCTAGAAGCAGGCACTTGCCTGTACCATCTTTACAGTGAGTTTTCCATCCCTGCCGTCTGTCTTCTCTCTCACTGGAAGCTAAGGCCTGGAATTCATTTCTGTTTTCTCATGCCTAAGAGCCCCACTGAGTTTTCAAAGAGACAGTGGAGAAAGGCCCCATTTTTTTGCCAATCTTCCCTTACCCCAGCAGTCTTGCTCTCATCTTCCTTTACGATACTATACTAAAAAGCTAAGGAGTTGTCAGGGAGAGGATGTCCCCACAAGGCCCAGTCTGCTTGTCTGGCTCTCTGCACTGACAGGTGAAAGGTGAGTGTCTCCAACCTACCTCTACTCAGAATTAAGATATTTTTAGTATCTAGCTCTGAGTGTTCTTGGACAAGACTCAACATCCCATGCCCTTCATACCCCCCTGCATGTTGCTCTAGTCTCCAGAAGAACCAAAGGCATAGCAACCAGAGACTGCATGCAGAACCTATGTGAGGGAGGACTCAACCACCAAGGAGGAAGAAACTAGTGTACAGATGCAGGAAGTGGAACAATTTTACAGTGCTGTGGGATGGGGCAGGCACAGTGTGGCAGAAAAGTTACCAGAGTCACTTGCTTCCATTAGAATTTTTGTGACAGCTGTTGCTGCTGGGGTGTTTCACAGACTGGCCTGCCCTGAGCACTTCTACCTCTCAACTGATCCCCGTCACAACTTACATGGAGACACTTATTCTCTCCAGTGGACATATGAGAACACTGAAGCACACAGAGAGCTAATAAATTCCTCAAGGTCCCCAAAGCAAGTTTGTAGTAAAGCAATTGGCTTGATAGCCAGGAGAGAATCCCAAACCCTATGGGAACTGTATCCCCCAAATGGAGGATGGTATAGGTTAGAATTATGGAAACAGGAGTCTTTTTCAGGGGTGCTCTTTGGGCTATTTACATGAGGGACGGAGCAGGAGTTGTGGGGTTACTGTTCCATTGGTCCTGCCAGGCACGGTGGTACACATCTACCATCCTGGCATTTGGGAACCTGAAGCAGGACTCAAGGCTAGCCTCGTCTATACTGTGAGTTTGAGGCCAGCCTGAGATACATGAGGCTCTGCCTCAAAAAGTTAACAACCTCCATGCATTCCTTAGGCCACTCTTCTCCAGAACTCAGTGACGGTGCTCCAAGTCCCATTCAGGTTTCTAGCCTCTTATGCCCACAATCCAGCTGTAGTCTTTTAACCACAGTTAATATCACCATCATATTATGTACTACTTTTGCCATGTGCTTACTAGGTTAGCAAGGAACTAAAGTAGACTGGTTTTGTTGTTTTGTTTTTGTTTTTGCCATTATGCCCCAGCAGGTACCACAGTACATATGTGGACAAGTTGTGGTAGTTGACAAATATTTGTTATGTTGAGATTAAGCAACACCTAGCTCACTCACTCTCTCCTCTAGGAGATCCAGGAAGAGACCATGAGGGAAATTAGAGAATGTTTTGTAATGCATGAAAATGAAAACAGCCAAGTATGGTGGCAGATGTTTATATTCCTAGCACTTAGGAGATAAGAGGTAGAAAGACCGGGAGTTCAAGACTAGCCTCAGCTACACAGCCAAATTCAAGGCAAGCCTCGGCTATAGATGATCCTGTCTCAAAAAATCAAAATAAAAAAAAAGAAAATGAAAAGAACACACTACTAACACTGAAGAGACACAGGTAAAGTAGAGCTCAAAGGGAAATGTATTGCTGTAGATGTCTACATTGTTAAATATTTGCCAAATAATAAATGAGAGGCTAAAAAGACAGTCCAGCATTAGGGACGCCTCTGTTGAAGAAGCCCGGCAAGCTCAGCTCAGTCCTCTGAATGCACATGTAAGGTGGGCAGGGGTGTAGTGTGCACATCTGTAATCCCAGCGCTCTTACAGCATGATGGTAGACAGACATAGAACTGCTTAGAAGCTCAAGGACCAATTAGCCAAGTGTATGCCTTGGGAAGGAGGCAGGTGGGAGCTGACTACCAAAAGCTGTCCTCTGACTTCTACATGCACATATGGGCAAACACACATCTATGTTCACACACCAAATCAAATAGATAAGACTAAACTGTCTAGATCCTCCCTAGAGAGGGAGGCATTTAGCAGAGATGGAGCTCAGATGTCTCCCAGAAAAGGAATTCTGTGGCCAGCACTATTCTCCAAGCCGTATGGATTGCCACAAAAAGGGGTACACTAATGAGAAACATTACTAGGCTTTGATAGTTCCCACTGGGCAATAAGACATTTCCTCCCTTCAGTGGACTAAAGTCTGTTTTAAAAGTTATTTACTACACATATGATATGTGTGAGTGAGGGTGCGTGTGCAGTCAGAGGACAACTCTGGAGTTGGTTCTCTCCTTTTACATTTAAGTGGGTTCCAGGGACTGAGCTCGGGTCACCAGTCTTGCATGCCAAGCACTTCACCTACTGAGCCATCTTACCAGTTCTGTGCCCAAGTCTTAAACTGCTCCAACTTTTTAAAATATTCATTTTAGGTATGTGTTCTCTCTTCATGCCTCTCTGTGCACTGTCTGTGTGCCTTGGTGGAAGCCAGAAGAGGGTGTCGGAGCCCTGAGATTTGAGTTACAGGCGGCAGCAAGCCACCGTGTAAGTGCTGGTCTCCACTGCAGCACTGCCTGAGCAGCAAGTGCTCCTAATTTTGGACCAACCTCTTCAGCCCCAAAGTGCCTCTTTTCTGAGGTGGCAGTGTCAGTGAAGGGTTTACAAAGTTATAACTGAAAAGACTCCCCCACCACACACAACAACAACAAAAACACAATTCCACAGAAACACAGCAAGTTTTAGCAGGGATAAGGAGAGTGCAGTGAGTGGAGCACTTACTATGCCAGTCAGACGACCAGAATTTGGATCCCCAGAACCCATTGAAAAGTTAGGTGGCTCTAACAGCTTTCTGCAATCTAGCACTTAAGAAAGCAGAGATAGGAGATCCTCAGGGCCCACTGGCTAGCTACACTAGCCCAACCTATGTGCTTCAGATTCAGTGACAGCCTTGCTTCAATAAAACAGAAAGGTATCAGACACTCAAGGTCAATGTCTGGCCCCTACACAAGTACACACAAATGTACATGCCACACACAGGGAAAAAGTTTTAACAAGTCATATCTCTTTACTCTTCTAAATTTTCCCAAGAACAGGAAAGGATGGGTAGAATTACTGACTCAGAAACACGACCTTCAGCCTGGAGGTGGGTGCATGTCTTTAATCCCAGCAGTTGGGAAGCAGAAGCAGGTGGATCTCTGTGAGTTCAAGGCCAGCCTGGTCCACAGAGTGAACTCTAGGACAGCCAGGGACACACAAAGAGACCGTGTCTAGAAAGGGAAAAAAAAAAAAAAATACAAAAAAATAAAAACACTGGGGGTCACTGAGTTAACTGGAATTGAAGACAAATGATGGGGTTCCAGACTCCACACTCTTTCCCCTGTGATCTGCTGCCTTTCAGTATTTCACTTTCGAAAATAGAAACAGAACTCCCATTCCACTGTGCACTGGAGACATGACCTGTCTCATACTCTCCCTGCCTTCTGCCTCCTATTCACATCTCTCAGTCTGGCCCAAGTCCAGGACCAGCTACAGGCATTCACTGAATTCTAGAGTATGGAGTTTGATGCTTCTTATAGTGTGTCCCATTCAAAATCCCTAACACTCTCAGAAATATTGCAGCTTAGCTGGGAGCATATATGCCAAACCATGACCCTCCTGCTGAAAACCTAGTGACCCCATCTCACTAGGTAAAACCCAAAGTCCTTCCAATGACCTACACAGGCCCTCACAAGCTCACAGCTGTTTCTCCAGTGTGCTGGCTCCATTTATGCTCCAGGGCCTGTGTTTCAGGATTGTAGTTTTTGCTGGCAAAATTAACTCCCCCATCTCCTCCTCCCCTCATCTCCTTCCTGTCTCTGTTCAATTATTATCTTCTCAACAGGACTCCAAGTAACTACTGCCACCTATCACCCAGACTTACACTCCCAAGCTAGCTTCACTTCCGTCTTGATCACTCACCATCAGTGAATGCACCATATATTCTGCTTTCCTGACCATGCTTTTATTGGTCACCCTTTCTGATTCCAAGATTTTTTTTCCTTTTTCCATGTTCACATGTGTAAGCACACAAGTGTGCGTGTGCTTGTAGAGGCCCAAGGCTGATACAAGGAATGATGTTTCATCTCTCTTCCACCTTATTCAATGAGGCAGGGTCTCTCACAGATATGGCTAGTCTCATCAGCCAGATTGCTCTGGGGTCCTATTTCTGCCCTCAGAGAATGGAATTACAGGTGGACCCAACTCACTGGCATTCAGATGGGTTCTGGGAATCTGAACTCTGATTCCCATGCTTTCACGGCAAGTGCTTTAACCACTAAGCCAGCTTCACAGCCCCAGAAACAAGATTTTCTCACTTTGTTCTTAACTCTGTCCTCAGGACCTAGGACAGTACCTAGCTTGCCAATCACTATTAAACAACAACAGATTATATTTATTTATTGTGTGTGTACAGGTAAGAGGAAAACTTACAGGAGTCAGTTCTCTCCTTCTACCATATGGTTTCTGTGGACTGAACTCAGGGCATCAGGATCAAACAATCACTTTTACCTACTGAGCCATCTCATGTGAGGAACCGTGACTAGGCAAACAAAGTAAGAAAAGAAAAGAGTTTAACAAAAGCCACAGCACATACTCTTACTCATCCTACCTGCAAGGTGAGGAGGCTGTCAGAGAAGTCCCATGGTGACTTTCCCATGGAGAAGCCACAGCAGTCTAGGACCAAACTTTCTGTTCTGTGGCTTGCCTGAGGAGCCAGATGGCATGAGACAGCCCATACGTGGTCTTTGTGATCTCCCAGCCTCTAAAACCCTGCCCTCAGAAGTATTTTGATTTTGTGTGTGGTGTATGTTTGCATGTGAGGGTGTTGAGGCCAGAGGTCAGTGTTGTGTGGCCTCCTCAACTACTCTTTCGTTCCTTCCTTCTTTGAGACAGTCTTTCACTAAACCTGGAACTAGTCATGAAGCTCCAGGAATCCTCCTGGCTCCATCTCCCAGTGCTGGAACTACAAGCCTGTGCCACTGAGCCCAGCTGCTTTCCTTTATCCTAAGTGCTGGGAATCTGAATTCAGGACAACACTATACTGACTGAACAATGTCCTCCAACCCCATGTAGCTGATTTCTAACGTCTGCCTTCTTAACATAGCCACACTATGTGGACAGGAGTTTTTGTCCATTTTAGTCTCTGTATGAAGTAAATGCTCATTAAACAAGTGTTGGACGTTGTGAAAAAGTAGATGCAGGAAGAATCTTATGAGCTCGGCAGGCAACTTATCCCAAGGCTCTCTGGGATCAAGCCTTCTCTCCTTCAATTCTGCTCCAAACTCACTGCTGCTCTTCCACACCACATCACTGTTAGCTCTGGGCCTTTGCAGCAGCTGCTCCCCAGCTCTTTGGATGGAATGACTAACTCTGTGTTTCAGCATTCACCTCATAGCTCGACAGACTCTAGAAAACCCACAGAGCAGCGGTTTGTCTCTGGTCGGCTTCTCAACTAGGATGCTAACCCAAGTAAAATGAGGGTTCGTTGCGTCTCTCTCCTTTGCAACTGGTTGGCCTGGGCCTACAATGGTGGTGTTCATTCAGCAAAGTATAAAAGCTTATGGAAAAATATGTAAGCACAGCCAAGATCTTTTCTAGGAAGTTTGGGACAATGTCAAGAGATCTGGCTAAAGATGGGTACGAGAGCTGCTGATGCTCCATAAAGGAACATTCTCTGCTAACTTCCATTGTTCTGGGACTGCAGAGGCCAAGGTGAGGGGAGGAAAGTGGGGAGGGAGTGTTTCATGAGAACCTGATGCTAAGCAGGCAGACATTTCTCCCTAAATGAGGAAAGGCCCTGGTATTAACTCTGGAAGGGTCTGTTCTTCTGTGGTGTGGATTTGAAGAGGTCTTTTTGAAAGGGTTGCAGGAAGGGTTTTTTAAAAAGCACTTCTGGTATAGGCCAAAACAGAAAATATTTTTGCACCCACAAAGAAGGCACCGGAGGTGGGTTGTGTGTGATCAGACACAGTAGGGGGCAACTCTTGTCACAAAGTCCTAATGCAACACCCCTCGCAGGCTCAGAAGCAGCTACCCAGCAAGCACAGCAATGCTGATGGCATGGGACAATCTCATAGAGGAAGCTGATGAGGCGGTAGGGAAAAGATTCGTGGGGGGCCCTTGTACTTGAGAGGTTCATCACGAATGAAAAGGCATTCGTAGCCATCCCACGGTGTGTGTGGGGGGAGGGCGTCCAGAGGTAAAACCTCTGGAGTATCTTGTGGGGGGCCAGTTATTGGGGATCCCCTGCCTCGGGCCCGGCAGTGAAGCACTGACGTTAAATGATGGGGTGCGTCCTGGGGACTACGGCAGGCCAGGGCGAGGCCCCCCGCCCCCGAGGAACCCGGGTCCCCAGGCCGCACACCCGGTCACTCACCGGCGCTGGGGTCTCCGCCGGGAGGAGGCTGAGGAGGCGGAGGAGGTGCCGCCGCTCCGGGGAGACCCGAGGGCCCAACCGGAAGTGCCGCCCCTTCCCCCCCCAACTCCACGCCTGCCCCGGGCCTCCTGCCCGGAAGCGGAAGTAGCGCCCGTTCCCCCGAAGCGCCGGCGTGGAGGATGGCGGAGAGGAAACGGGGAAGGGAAATTACGCCCGCACTAGACACGGGAAGGGACAGCCTAGGCCGCTTCCGGTGGGCGAAGCGAGCCTGGTGCGCCTGCGCCCACTGCGCCCGCTTCTTGGCAGGGCACCACCCATAGACTCCAGACATCCGGTTAGGACACACCCTGGGCTCGGGTCGCACGCTTTGAGCCCCACCCCCTAAGCCGGGCCAAGCACATTCCGAACGTCTGGTCACCGATTGGTCGGATTCCTTTGGCTGCACCTATTCTTTCTTCGCTCCAAACCCTACTTTTGGAATTCCACCCCCCGACACCCAGGCCACACCCACAAACCACGCCTCTTTCTATATCTTGTCTCCTACAAAAAGCTGTGCGCCTTCTCTTGCATTTAAGGGACATCACTTTTTTTGACTTTTTAATTTCTTCTTTTGGGACATGGTCTTACACTGTTCGAGGGGTGGCCTTGAACTCCTGTATAGGCCATAATGGCGTCATATTTCCAGCAATCCTCCTGAGGGTCTTCAGGAATCTGGGATTATAGGTATGGCTCTCTATAGGGATGCTTGTAGTTTTGTCTTGCACCTTGAAAGTAATTCTTTAAGTCAGTTATTACCATCATTTACCATGATGCTCCTTAACCCAGACTTACTGAATAGAAAGCTTTGGAGTGGATCTGAGTTCAAACACCTTTGGTAAAAGTTTAAATGAGAACCACAGCTTTGTCACACTTTATACTGAGCTCTATAAACCTCTTTTTTAACTCAGTCCCACTACACTATAAACAGCTAATTCTATTCAGTCAAGCTCGCCCTTCCAAGTACCCTTTCCTCTCCTCCGTGGGCTGAATGCCAATCATGTCACCCCCTGAAAACCCTCTAGCAGTTAAGCCCTAATACCCTGCTCTGGAAAGTACGTCTAGGTAACTGTTTTTTGAGATGTCCCTACAATTGCTCACAGGTGTGCCTTACTTTCTTCGTAAGCCTATATTAAAAAAGAATTAACAACAACCTTGAACTCCATTTTTACAAGTACTTCCTTTAAGCCCCACCCTTCAGTTAAATGCCATCCATTCCCTCTGAATTGCTGAATTGCTGCCAGCCAAGCCTAAACTTTGATCCTCCAGCCCCATTTTTAGCCTCCTTTCCTAAGCTCCGACCTAGTTTTTTTAAGATTTATTTAGTATGTATACGGTGTTCTGCCTGCATGTGTGCATGTACACCAGAAGAGGGCACCAGATCTCACTGTAAATGGTTTTAAACCACCATGTGGTTGTCTGGGAATTAAACTCAGGACCTTTGGAAGAACAGCCAGTGCTCTTAACCTCAGAGCCATCTCTTTAGCCTTCTGACCTAGATTTTAAGGCGCAGAACTTTCACCTCATCTCAGTCCTGCCATCCCCTGCAGCACACACCCTTACCTCTTAAATCCTACCGAAATGGTCAGTTCTGTTCACCTTCCTGGCCCCACACCCTTAAACTGGCCACTCAATCCAGGGTCTGTGTATTCAAGGTACATTGCCATTGAGCTATATTTCAAGCCCTCAACTTAGTTTTTTCCTTCCAAATAGCAAGTCCTCTGGAAAAGAAGTTGAAGCAAAAAGCATCTGTGTAGAATTTGAAGGAATTTAGCTAGGATGGAGGGGCCTAGAGTCATGTTTGCATAGCAGGTTAAATGTTTTTCTGTATTTGTCTGATGGAGGTCTGATTGGGCAAAGGCTTGTTCCAAACCATTGGTTCTCTGGCACCAAGCTAAGGAGATTCATGAAATGGAGTTCTCTCCAATTACACACACCATGGTCAGGCAAGGAACAGAAGAGCATTGAGCGGAACAGGCACCATGACTGAGCACACGCTGGAAGTCAGTAGGCAGGGATTTATTTCCACAGCCCGTGCCTCCCAGAGCCTGTCAGTCCGCAGGAGGGTGCTGGGTGGCATCAGGTTTAGGTCCCTGCTTTTGACCCCCTCCCATGATGGGAATACCACCAGAAATAAGGGTGTCTTGGCCACCTTGCCCATGCCCAGCACCAGCTGAAGCCCCCACTGTAAACCCACACACAGGAGAAGTGGTGGAGGACATGGGCCAAGCAGGCTCCTTTTCTTCAGGCCCTTCCTCCTGTACCCCTTCTGGAACAGGGGCGCCCTCACCATCATCCCACAGAGGTTGAGGTCTTGGGTTTGGGGGGGCACAGGCGCACGGGCATCCCCACAAGCTCTGGGTGTTTGCGTTTGTAATGGCGCCGGAGGGTATTGGCCTCCGTGAAGCGTACCCTGCATGAGGGACACTGGTATGGTCGCTCTCCAGAGTGGATGCGGTGGTGATGTGCAAGCTCCCCTGCCTCTCGGAAGCGGCGAGGGCAGAGCACACAACGGAAGGGCCTAAGGCCAGCATGGATGTTGCAATGACGCCGCAAGTGGCTGGACCGCTTGAAGGTCTTGCCGCAATCTTTGCACATGTGTGGCTTCAATTCTGAGTGAGAGATGCTGTGGCGCTCCAGGTCAGAGAGGTAGGGAAAGGCCCTCAGGCACACAGGGCAGAAGTGTGGGGCCCTCTTGGGGCCAGAGCCCTGGGGCCCATCTGCTGCTGACCTTTCGGGAACTGTATAAGGAACGCCCTGATCATCGATCAACAGAAGATCACTGCTGCCAGCGCTGTCCACTGGTGCTGTCAACGGGGCTTCCTGCACTGATTTGGGGGGTCGGCCCCGCTTTCGAGGGAGAGAGGACTTGAGAGTCCGATTGGAGGTGGCAGCTCCCCCTGGAGGTCGGCCTCGGCGGCCCCGGGGAACAGGAGGAAGTAAGGCCAGAGGTTTTTCTTCCTCCCCAGACAAAGTTGAAGGCAACGGGTCTGGGCTGGGCTTGTCCATTGAGCAGTGGGGAGCTTGAATCTGGGTACTGGAGCCAGCTAAGAGAACAGAGGGGGCGGGGTCAGTGTGGTGATGGTCTAAGCCCCATGTACCCCAATATCTCACCAATCTCTTCTAAGTCTTTTGAGTTCCTAATCCTTCCTTTGGATTTAGGCTTTCTTTCACAGTGGTTTGAATGAGAATGGTCCTCTAAAGGCTCCTATATTTGAGTATCTGGTTTCATTAGTGGAACTATTTGGGAAAGATTAGGAGGTGTGGCCTTGTTGGAGGAGGTGTTTTACTAGAAGTGAGCTTTGAGGTTACAAAATCCCACACCAAGCCAGTCTCCTTCTAACCTCAAATTTATGGTTCAAATGTGAGCTCTGAGCTACTGTTCCAGCACCATGTCAGCTTGTAGGCCGTCATGCTCCCAGCCAAGATAACCATGGACAAATGTAAGCAAATCCCTAATTAAATGCTTTCTTTATAACCTTCTGCAGTCACTGTTTTCATCACAGCAACAGAACAGTAAATACAAAAAGCCTTCAAGGGCAAAACAAGCCAAAAAAAAAAAAAAAAAAATCCAGCTGAGAATGTGGGCCTTGAAACAGCCCATCAAATTCTGAGCCACAAAGGCCTCAAAAGCAGCTGCCTCCCACAGAGATGGGGAGGTCTGAAAGGGATGAGGTCCCAGGCAAAATCTCTTGATCTGTGAATGACACTTACCCACCGTGCTAAGAGTCTGGGCTTTGAAGTCAGAAACCCAGAAATCAAATGCTGAATGTGTCCCTTCCTTTCCCGGTGACCTTAGCCAAGAGCCTTACCTCTCTGGGCTCATTTATATCTTTTGTAAGATGGAACTCAGGAGATTTTGTTGGTGGTGGTTGGTTTTGTTTGTTTGTTTTGATTAGTCTTACCTACTAACACAGATATGCTGTGAACTAATACACAAAAGAGCTAGCAAAGCAGCATGGGTAGTTAAGCCTCACACCAACCCTTTGTGGGAATACAGGGAAACCAAGGCACAGAAAAGCCACGTGAGTTCCTTAAGGTCTCTCTGCCAGTGACAATCATCAAACCAGTCCTACGGACCTCAGTGGCCAACGAATAGAAAGACCTAGGAAGATAGGGGGATATGTTTGTATGTGTAGGAGGATATCTTTGAGTTATGTGTGTGTGTGTGTGTGTGTGTATGTAAGAGGATATCTTGAGGTCTTTCAGTCCTGGGTTTGATTCTAATTCTGCCAATAATTAGCATGTGACTCTGCAAAGCCACTTGCAAGGCTTTTGTCTCTGAATCAGTTTCCTTCTCTGTAAAATCAATATATCGAGGTTGTAGGAAGAATGGACAGGAAGATGGAAGCTTCAAAAATGTCCCTAGAAAACTGCTTAGAATACAGAAAATATTGTAAAAACCCCACGACGCTCACTTCCCAGTGTCCCCAGATCCTAGGTTGTAGGAATGGAGTGTACTTGGGGGACAGGTGCAGCAGATGCTGTGAGGAGGACCCTGAACCTTTCTTGACATTGTTTTGTTGTTTGGTTGGTTTTTAAGTTTTCTTTGTGTGTAGTGCAGGTTATCCAACTCAGGGCCTCACACATACTAGACCTGAGCTACACCCCCAAAACTTGCACCCCTTTTTAATATGCACACAGCATAAGGGCCACACAGGAGCATCTCCTCCAGGACTATATGGTTCGCACCATGTGGTAGGTAGCCTGGACAAGAGCTGCATTTCTGGAACACACCTATGAAGTGAGAGAGTGACTCTTCAACCCTCCCCCCAACAGTCCGGTGGGACGCGTGCCCGTCAGCCCCGAGTGGCCCAGCCCGCAAGCGGGGCGGGCCCTCAGGGTGCCGTGGCCAATGAGCGGCGCGGGGACACTGGAGGCAGGGGCTGCCAGGAGGGGGTCTGCGCGCGCGAGCCCAGACGGCTCGGCGGGGCGCGAGGTCGGCGCGCGCAGGAGAGAGCAATGAAGCAGGGAACAGGTGCCGGGGGCGCGCTCCGGCGTGCGCACCCGGGGCCACCCCCCTCCCCCACCCCGGGCCCCCCGCCTCGGGTACCTCATTTGCATGCTGCCTGGGCTCGCGTGTGTGTGCGCGCGCGCCGGGGGCGACGGGCCGAAGCGTGGGAAGGGGCGGGGGAGAGGGGGCCCTGCCCCTCGGCGGTGGCGGGGCGAGGACGGCGGCCGCGAGCCCGGCCCCGCCCCTCGGCGCGGACGCCCGCAGCCCTTTCCCACCTCCCTCTCTCCCTCCCTCCCCGCCGCCTGCGCCCGCGGGGAACAAAGGGAACGCTCTGGGTCCCAAGGCACCCCGACACGCCTGAGATGAACGCGCCTGCGCACGTGTCGCCTTCGTGTGCCTCAGTGAGAATGCACAAAAATCCCCAGCCACCTCCAAATGCCTTTCCTCCCACAAAGCACTCCAGCCCGGCGACCCGATCAAATACAGGTACCAGAGAGATGAGAAGCGGGAAATGGCTGCTAAGTGCCCCTAACTAATATGGCGCCCAATAGCTTCAAGACTTCATGGAGTGTGAAGTAGTAAAATGGTGCTTGGTGTTTCCTAACCCTGTACTAGTTTGACCCCTTGGATTTTTCTCTTTCTGGATACAACTCGACAGCCTACCCAAGAGTCGAGGGCTAGGAAAAGGGAATCATATCATATGTTAACTCTTTGCAACGGCGCCGCGCACTGCGAAAAGCTCCGCGCCGAGCGTGCGGCCCTCTCCGTCTACGTCCCCAGGGGAACTTAGGCCCCGCCCCGTACCCTCAACAAAGATGGCGCCAGCCTCGCTTCTTTAACCTCTGGGCTGGGAAAAGGAAGGGAAAGCAGAAGGGCGGGGTGGGGGCGGGAAAGGGGAGCCGAGAGGGAGGGAGAAACGGGGCTTGAGGGGGTGGGGGGAGAAGGGAGCCGAGGCGGAAGTCGTGGGGCCCCTCAGGTGGAAGTGACGCTGACCCCGCTGCCCAAAATGTCGGCGCCCAGAGGGAGGTGTAAGTAATTAAAGAGGAAAGCCGACAGACTTTCCCGGCCTCCCGGGTCCTGCCTGGTGTCCAGGACCTCCGCAACGCAAAAGCAAGGCGGTCTCGCCCAGCCCGCGGGCCGCCTGACCTGCCCCCGACCCGGGCGCCCGAGGCCGCAGCGTCCAGGAACAGGGAAAGGGGTACAAAGAGCCAGTTTTCCCGGCCTAGCTCGAAAGATCAAGCAGGGTGGGGGTTCCCCACAGCACCGCACAGTGGGGTGCAGGAGGAGGCGGAGCTTATTGGCGTTTGGGGCGGGGCAGACTAGGAGGAGGAGCTTGTTGGGGCGGGGCCTATAGTAGGAGGGGAAGGATTTGAGAAAGGGTAGAGACTGGTTAAAAAATGGGAGAGATTTATGCAAAGGGTGGGGCCTGGTAAAGAGGCGTGAATCACATGCAATGAGGGAAAGGGCCTAGACTGAAAAATTGAAGAAACTTAAGGTTAGTGGAAAAACGGGGTCTAAGATAAGAGAGGCCTAGAGTATGGCGCATGGAGTTTGCCTAAGGTGTGGCCGTGGCAAGGGGGTCCGATTTGGGTGTGCAATTTGGAGAGTTTTAGTGGAACTATCAAGTCTTTATCGTGAAGGTGAAAATGTTTGGAGGGAGCTTAGCATCCAGCTAAGTAAAGGCTAAGAAAACGATAGGGAAGTTAGAAGAGACTATAGAAAAATGTGACATACTTGAAGGAAAAGTTGGGTGGGATTTGGAGGCAGGTCTCAGTGAAGATCTTAGAAAAATAAAATTAACTTGGACAAATATAAGAATAAAAGAACTAAAAGGAACTTAAATATTCAGACTGCTCCGTTAAGTCTTAGGCTTTCCTAAGTGTGTAGAACACATTGCTACAATTTTACTTGCCTCACTGTATGAGGTAGGCACTGGTATACCCCTTTCATAGGTGAAAAGAGCTTCCGGTTCTGAAGCTACAGAACCAGTGCGAACTCCCTAGAATTATGAGACAAATGTGTTCAGCCCCAAATCCTTGTTTCCCTGTTTCACTAACTTGTCTTCAAAGAAGAGTTAGAAGCAAGAAGAGATCTGTGAAGGAATATTGAATGCTTAGGCGACAGAGGGAGGTTATCAGGAAGCAGCCCAGACCTAAGCAAGAGGAGGAGGGCCTTAATTTTGTAATGGACAGAGCTTGGAGAGAATTGAGAGAGCACCTTTCAGAACGCCTTGTGAAGAAGAAGCAATATGCCTGTGGCTGGGAAGATAAGAGAATTTAGGGTTTGTAGAGAGTGGGAGAAATTTAGATGGCCAAGGTTGTGACTTGGTGGTGGGCATGGTTTAGCATGGGGTGGTCTCCCAAAGGACATGTGTTTCTGAGCCCAAAGAACTATGGGAAAGAATGGCCAGTGGGGGTGGTGAGTCTTACCTGCTTCTGTGTCTCTTAACTCCACAGAAAACCCCAAGCCACCACTGTACCTCCCACCATGGATGAGGCCTCCATGCCTGTGATTCCTGCCCCTGTTGCCACCCCAGGGCCAGCACCATCTGCCGCTGCTCCTCGAGTCCCCTTTCACTGCAGCGAATGTGGCAAAAGCTTTCGTTACCGATCAGACCTGCGGCGCCACTTTGCTCGACACACAGCGCTCAAACCCCATGCATGCCCTCGCTGTGGCAAGGGCTTCAAGCATAGCTTCAACTTGGCCAACCACTTGCGCTCACACACCGGTGAGCGGCCCTACCGATGCTCCGCCTGCCCTAAGGGATTCCGAGACTCCACTGGCCTGCTGCACCACCAGGTGAGTCCTCTGAGCCACACGTGGCTGAGACACTGGGGCTCCATTCCATTCAGAGAAAGGCAGCTAGAGATGCCCTGCATAGTAAGTTTGCCCCCATATAAATGTTTCTCCACCGCTCCTGCTGAAGCCTTTGATGCCCACCACTATCTGCAGCCTCGTGTTTACAGTTCTCTTCCTCGCCATCTTGAAAATAGTTTTATCTGTGTACACACAACTTCTTTATTCTGCAGTGCCCACTGTTCCCTATAGGGAACACAGGCCTTCAAGGGAACTCAGCAGGGCCTTCAGAAAACATATATTCCTTCGAATGATCAGGTGCCAGGTAGAGGGTAAAGTTTCTGAGAAAAGAGTTCACTAACGGAGAAGTTGGGAGGCCAATTATAAATAAATAAATAGATAGATAGATAAATAAATAAATAAATAAATAAATAAATAAAGGCGTAGTGATGCATTCTTATAATCCCAGCACTTGGAAGGTGGAGGCAGGAGAATCAGGAGTTCAAGGTCATCCTCAGCTACACGGAGAGTTTGAGGCCAGCTTGGGCTAAATGACCCTGTTTCAAACAATGAAACAAAAATAAACATGTAGGAGTAAATTGGGAGAGCTGTGGGTTACTGTAGGCAAGAGGACACAGTGGTGTCTAATTGAGACTTGAAGTGTGAGAAGTCTGCTTGGGAAAAATCACTGTAGGTCAGAGGAACAGCAAGTTCAAAGGTCCTGAGGTAGGAAGGACTACAGTGTGCCCACAGGTGTTCAGTCACTGTTCCTGAGGAAAACACATTGGCCACAGGTAGGGCTGTAACAGAGACCAAAATGTAGTTGCACCAAAGTTCAGTCTGCCAGATCAAAGAGTTTAATTGGGTGCACAGGTGAGGGGTTACAGCAGCATGTAACTGGAGTTCCGGACTGCTGTTAGCTGGGAATTGAACCCAGGCCCTCTGCAGGAGCAAAAATAACACTTAACCTGGTCAACCATTTCTAGTTCCTCTGTTCCTTCCTTAAAATATTTTTATTACATTATTTGTTGTTGTTTGGTTCGTTGATTGTTTTGTGACAGGGTTTCATGATGTAGCCCTGACTGGCCTCCAACTCACAGGACTGGCCTGCCTCTACCTCTGCCTCTGCCTTCCCACTGCTGGGATTAAAGGCTTGTGCTAGCATGCCCAGCTCCATTATTTATCTACAGGGTAAGATGTGCCACAGCTCATCTTATAAGAGGTAGTTCTTTCTTTTGCCATTTGGCCCCAGCGATCAAACTTGGGTCAACAGGCTTAGCTGCAAGTACCTTTAACTGCTGAGCCATGTACTAACCCAGATTCAATCCTTTTGGCCAGAGTAGGTAGCTTTCTTTTAATGGGCCTCAATGAAGCTCTACTACTTTTTTATAATGGTATTTTCACTTTTTGTGAGAAGCACTTTAAAACTTCACAAGGAGGTAGGTGGGCCGTTCTCCATGGCCACCATGCCTGCTGATGCCTGTCTAGTAACCTGACAGAGGAGAAGGGGTGAAGTGAGATCAGACCCTGTGGGCAGAGGCTGAGCACTCGGGTCCATTCTCAGCCTCTGCTCTTGCTCCCAGGTTGTCCACACTGGTGAGAAGCCCTACTGCTGTCTGGTCTGCGAGCTCCGATTCTCCTCTCGATCCAGCCTGGGCCGCCACCTCAAGAGGCAGCACCGGGGCGTGCTTCCCTCTCCCCTCCAGCCCAGCCCAGGCCTGCCTCCCCTGAGCTCCCCCTGCTCAGTGTGTTGCAACGTGGGTCCCTGTTCGGTTTGTGGAGGTGGAGGGGCCGGCGGAGGAGAGGGCCTGGAAGGAGCAGGAACGACCAACTGGGGGTTGGCAGAGGCGGCAGCTGCTGCTGCGGCCTCACTGCCTCCATTTGCGTGTGGCGCCTGTGCCCGGCGCTTTGACCATGGCCGGGAGCTGGCTGCCCACTGGGCTGCACATACTGATGTGAAGCCGTTCAAGTGCCCGCGCTGTGAGCGTGACTTCAATGCACCTGCGCTGTTGGAACGCCACAAGCTCACGCACGACCTGCAGGGGAGCACTGCACCCCCAACACAGGTTTGGGCCTCTGCTGGGAGTCCAGAGGTGGCAGAAGAGAGCGACATGGCAGAGGTGGGGGCTGCCCCGCCGACTTGGGACCCCAGGCTCCTTCTGAGCCCTACTGGGGCAAGCGTGCCCAAGCTGGAGGCACTGCTTCCTGGGGGCGAAGGCGCTGGGAATGCCCGGGCCCCGGCTGCAGCAGCGGAGGCGTCCTCAGAAGACACACTGTACCAGTGCGACTGCGGGACCTTCTTCGCCTCTGCCCCGGCCTTGGCCAGCCATCTAGAAGCGCACTCTGGCCCGGCTACCTTCGGCTGCGGCCACTGTGGGGCGCTGTATGCTGAGCTGGCCACCCTGGAGGAACACCGGCGTGCCAGCCACGGAGAGGGCAGTGGGGAAGCGGCCCCTGACGGTAAGGGCGAGCAAGCAGCTAGCGGGCCCACACCCGGCTCCTCTAGCCGTGGTAAGAAAATTTTTGGCTGCTCTGAATGCGAGAAGCTGTTCCGTTCTCCTCGAGACCTGGAACGGCATGTGCTGGTCCATACTGGAGAGAAGCCATTCCCGTGCCTGGAGTGTGGCAAGTTCTTCCGCCACGAGTGCTACCTCAAGCGCCACCGGCTGCTGCATGGCACAGAGCGGCCCTTCCCCTGTCACATCTGCGGCAAGGGCTTCATTACGCTCAGCAACCTCTCCAGGCATTTAAAGCTGCACAGGGGAATGGACTGAACAACCAGGCCGCCCCAGCCAGCCAAGTCCAGAGCTAGACCATAAGATGAGACAGGCCCCTGTCTGCAAAAATGGTGCCACCCAGAACCCACACAGGAACGCAGTGAAGCATCCTTCAGCAAAAGGGTCCAAGTATGTAATTGCTGGGGAATTTCTCTCTGAAATCCACAGAGACACTCTTGACTTTGAGACCCCTGGAATGTGGCATGTTCAAATAACTGGCCTCCGAGACTGGTGACGTAGAAATAAAAAACGGGTCTCCACTAACACCTCTCAGCAGATAACATGTGGGCCCCCCCCCACAGTCCTACCACCCACTCCCTGAGAGCCATCATTCCTGATGATCCTCACCCGGGGGTGGGGTTAGGGCAACATCTTGGAATCTTCTAGGATCCCCTTCAGATGACACCTGTCAGCCACTGGTGGCCCCAGAAAATGAGTATAGCCAGAATCTGCCTTCTCCCCATCTTCCTATGCTGAAAGAGGACCAGGGTAGATGGCCCCACTTTTAATTAACCCACTCTCAGAGTAGGTCCCCTTACTGCAGAATGGTCTGACCCTACCGATCTTCCCCTATCCTGAACACTAGATTAGACTGGCCCAAAGTCTCCCCTGTAGGTTACTATCCACAGTTACCCTATCCACTTGGAATGGGCTGGCGCAGATTGTGGCCTAGCCACACTCTCCATAGAGTAATAGGGCAGACATTCCCTTATGCTGTAGAGCCAGTCTTCTGACCACAATTGTCCCAATCCTGTGACCTGGTGGAGGTGGTAGATGCTGAGGTTTCCCTCCCCCTCGACTGTAGTACCTGTCGGTCTTCTCATCACTGTCAGCTTGCCTCTTTGTCCCAACCCAAGGGGATAGGGGAACTTGGCTAGGGGTTTCTCCCCTGTGAGCCTCAACCTCACCCCCTGTCATTGGCCCCACTCCCAATGTCTCTGGGACTCCAATAAACCTCAGTTACTATTGTCTTGTTTTCTGATCCTTGTTTCAGGGAGGTGGGGCTCTCTCTCTCCCTCTTGGACTTAGAATATGTCCTCTGGGGTCTAGAGAGATGACTCAGCAGATTAAAATGCATACTTTTCTTTCAGAGGACCAGCATTCAGTTCCTCCCACGCACATCAGGCTGCTCATAATCACCTGTAATTCAAGCTCCAATATTTGCTTGTGGCCTCCACGGGCATTGCACTCACATGCAGAAACCCACATACATACACATACCATTTCATTTTAATCTTTAAAAAGGGAATAGATTCACTAAATTAACACAGGTCCTTGAGGGAGTGGTTCAAGAGGCCCTGCCCCTTCTTGTGGATGTATAAGCAGTTAACAGTTGGTAGGGTACTGTGCCCCCACTGGGAAAGTCTAGTGGGAAAAGTCTAGTGGGAAAGTCATTAGCTGCCTATTTTATTCCTCAGTAGCATAGCTACTGGTAAGTTGCCTGCACTCCAGTAAGTACCCAGATCCTCAAACCCTCTCAAGATTTAGGTCCTTTGGCCCTTTTAAGTCCTTCAGAGGAGAGGCATCTCACCTAAAGTGGCCTCATCTAGAAATCAAGAAGTACCACACAGGTTATGTTCCTTGGAAACCAAGCACTGACCTGAAGAGCCTGTACATTCTAGACTGTCTTCTGCAGAATACTGTCTACATTAGACCCCCACATGAAACCCTCTGGGACAGGACATCCCATCAGAGAATAGAAGAGGACCACTCATGAATGCCCCATGGCATTTTTGTGCTGTGCCTACTTCTATACTAAACATCCTAAACTCTTCAGACAGTGTCCAGTGAGCAAGGCAGAAAATACAGGCCCTCCTTTAGCTTATCACATTCTAGTGTGTAGGCAATGAGTATTGAGAGGGAGGAAGGAGTCAATTGAAGATGGTAATCTCACATGGCAATGAACAACACCTTTACAGCAATGACAGAGAGTGTTGAGAAAGTGGTGGCAGCTGCCTTAGGTGCAAGTCTTAGCCCAGCTACTTAGGAAGCTGAGGCAGGAGAGTCAGAAGTGCAGGGCCAGCCTGGGTAACAGAGGCTAACTCAGTAACAAAAGGTCAGGCTGGGGAGATAGTTTAGTCGTTTACATGTTTCACTCAAAAGCATAAGCACCTCAGTTTAATCTTCAGAAGTCATAGAAACTGGTGTGATGATACTAGAGAGGTAGAAATAGGATCCCTGGAGCTAGTGAGTCCTGGTCTAATCAGACCGTCTAGCCTTATTTAAGAGGTCTAGGCCAATGGTTCCTATCTCAAAGGTTATGGAGACCATTGTCAAGGCCACACAACGTCCTCTGGCTTCCTTCTGCACACGTGACACTCCCATACATAATTGTGCAAACACACACATACTTTAACATTTGGGGGGAGGAAAAGATTGAAAAGAGAGCTGGGAATGAAGTTTACTGGCAGAGTGCCTAGGATCTACCAGTGAGGGGTTGGGGTGGGGCTGGATGAATTGAAGAGGCTTGCCTAGAATGTATGAAGGAGCTACTGTGGGCATGGCTCCATGACAGAACTCTTGCCTAGAATACCCCAGTGAGTGTCTGGGGCCAGTGGTAGAGCAACCTAGAATTTACCAGTGAGGGGCTGTGGGCATGACTCAGTGGTAAAGCACTTGCCTAACATGTATGTGCAACATCCTAAATTTACACTCACTCTCTCTCTCTCTCTCTCTCTCTCTCTCACACACACACACACACACACACACACACAGAGTGAATGGCAAGGGCATACCATTTTAGGATGGCCCAGAGAGCTTCTCTGCAAAGGCAGTGTTAGCCTGGTCCTTGAAGGGGTACTAGTTGGGGATACCTAGATAGACAAAGGAGGAGCTGAGTCTAAGGAAGGAGGGGGACTTGGATCCAACATTCTCCATCATATCCCTGTAGTAAGTGATGTAGTAAGATATTATGAAACCTATGAGAGCTCTGCAGTGAGCAATCCCAGTCATCCTAGACTTTTTTTTTTTTTTTTCAGGACAAGGTTTCTCTGTGTATCCCTGACTGTCCTGGATAGACCAAGATGACCTCAAATTCAAAGATCTGCCTGCCTCTGCCTCCCAAGTACTAGGACAAAAGGCATGCATCACCACTGCCTGGCTTCTAGACTTTATTTTTAAGACAGGGTCTCGCCGTGTGGCCTTGGTTGGGCTGGAACTTACCATGTAGACCAGGCTCAGTTTGAACTCAGGGATGTATCTGCCTATGCCACCCAAATGCTGGAATTAAATGTACACAGGACATGGATAAGCCACAAGTACACAGAACTAGTCCTCTGCATTTCTACCCTTCACATCCATCTTAAATGCATTTACAGGTCTCCTTTCATCCCCTCACCTAGCCTGGAATAGCCTCCCCTACTCTCTTGTGCCATTCCTTGATCATTCAATGGCCAGGCGGCAGGAAATTGGCATGTATTGTCTCACCCTCTGCACACCCTTGCTGTGCATCTTTACACTGTCCGAGATCACATCCAAATGTCCACCTTGAACTACCTAGCTCTATCCAACTCTCATTGCTCATACACTAGAATATAAAGCCTACATTTTATACATAATGGCATGATGGCACATGCCATTTCAGAGGCCCTGAAAAATTTTAAAAGCTGTGTGTGTGTGTGTGTGTGTGTGCGCGCGCGCGCATGTGTGTGTTGTGGAGAAATGGCTCAGAGGTTAAGAGTACATACTGCTCTTTCAGAGGACCTGAGTGCGGTTTTCAGAACCCACATCAGGCAGCTCACAATCTCCTGTAACTCCAGTTCCAGGGATCCTACACCTCTGACCTCTGAGGGCACCTGTACTCTCATGAAGATTCAAATGATTAAAATTTTGTGGGGACAAGTAACAGGGTATCATGTTGCCCATGCTAGCTTCAAACTGGCTCTAAAGTAGAGGATAACCCTGAGCTTTCTATTCTGCTACCACTTCCCAAATGCTGAGATAAGTCTTTGCCGCGTCTGGTGGAGAACAATTTTCTACAAAACTCATGGCTGTTTTGGAAGGTTAAAATAAGAGGAGACATCTAGAAAGCTTCTGTGATTGTTGAGAGCAAGAAATGTTCTATATCTTTTTTAATTAAATTTTTATTTTTTATATTAGTTACAGTTTATTTACTTTGTGTCCCTACCCTCATACCCTCCCAATCACACCCCCTCTCCCTCATCTCCTCCCTGCCCCTCTCTAAGTCCACTGATGGGGAGGTCCTCCTCCCCTTCCCTCTGACCCTGGCTTATTAGGTCTCTTCAGGATTGGCTGCCATATCCTCACAGCGATCTGCCTGCCTCTGCCCCTGGGTGCTGGGGTTAAGGGGGTTTGCCCCAGGCCTGGCTAATGTCCTGTGTCTTAATGTGGGATCGTTCGCTCACTCATTCGCTCATGAATGTGTGCTGTGTGTCTGCCCGTGAAGGCCTGAGGTTGACGTGGAGTGTCTTTCTCAGCCACCCCTCACCTTACTTCATTGTTTTATTACAGTGTGTGCATTTGTGCCATGGCGTGAGTGTGGAGGGCAGAGAGCAACACTCACAAGTTCTTTCTCTCCTAACATGTGGGTTCCATGATCAAATTCGGGTATCAGGCTCTCAGGGAGCTTCTTGACACATTGAGCCATCTCACCAGTCCCCACACACACAGCTTACTTTTTGAGCCAATCTTTCTCTGAATCTGAAGCTCTCATCTGACGAGGCTAGCTGGCTGGCTAATGAGCCTCAGCTATTGCCTATCTTCACCCCCTACAGAATCTCACTGCACCAGCCTGCTTTTACATGGTTCTGGGGATCTGAACTCAGATCCTTCTGCTTGCAAAGCAGGCACTTTGCCTAATGAACCATTTCCCTAACCTTGGTGTTATGTTTTTGTTTGTTTTGTTTTGTTTGTATTTTACAGTGCTAGAATGGAACAAGGGCCCTGTGCAAGGCAAGTGTTTTACCACTCTGTTGGGGTTCCTTTTAAACAATTTTGCTCAATTGTTCATTCATATTATGTACTTTTTTGCTTGTTTGTTCGTTGAGACAAAGTTTCTCTGGGAAGCCCTGATTGAACTGATTCTGTAGACCAGGCTGGTCTTGAACTCAGAGATCCACTTGCCTCTGCCTCCCGAATGCTGGGATGAAATGTGCCACCACCTGGCACATGGTACGCTTTTTATCTGTGAGTCTTAGCATCATGAGGAAGAAAGTGAGAGATACTCAGCGGGAAAATAAGTGGTTTTGGTCAAGACCCATAATTGCCAGTTTGAAAAAGCTCCATCCCTTAGGAACAACGTCATTTCCCAGAGATGCTAGAGCTCAGAGGCATTCTCACTGTTGGGGTGGGAGATGCAGCTTAGTGGTAAAGGCGCTTGCTGCCAAACCTGACAACCTGAATTCACACTCTGTGATGTACGTGCTGAAAAGAAAAAAAAGGATTCCTGCAAGTTGTCCTTTGATATCCACGGATGTACCATGGTATATTCATGCTACCCCAAATAAAGAAATAAAAATGTAAAAAATCAAGAGTTATTTTCTAGGGGCTGGAAAGATGGCTTCAGGGGTCAAGAGCTGCTTTCACAGAGGGCGGGAGTTTGAGTCTCAGCACACACACGATGGCCCACAACCATCTGTAACTTCAGTTCCAGGCGATCTGATGCCCTCTTCTGGCCTCCATGGGAAATAGGCACAGACATACATGCAGGTAAAACACCTGTATGCATTAAATAAATAAGTTTTATATTTTATTTAATGTATATAACACATTAGACACACACACATACAGTAATTTTCATTATAATAGAGGTCCAGAAACAAGATTTACTCTTTCTGAGTAAAGTAAATCTTTAGGTCATGCTATCCCAAATCTATAGTATCAGAACTTGGGAGGCAGAGGCAGGAGTGTATCCAGACTTCAAGGATGGCTGAGCTAAATGAGACCCTGTATCAAAACAATAAAAATAGAGCTAGACAGCGGTGGCACACACCTTTAGTCCTGGCACTGGG